GATGTTTTCTTAGACCGAATGCCGGCCGGCCGGTGCATGCGCGCGTGCACCGAGAGAAATGTCGCATCGATAAGATAAACTCGCCGACCAGGAGGAGGAGGAGGAGGAGGAGGTCGAACGTTGCAATTTTCGATCGACGGGGCTCGCCGAGCCGAGCCGATTAATCAACGTGTTTGTCGATCTTTCGCGTGTTCGCTTCTAACACTGTCGGAGAGTCGGCGGATAGAAAATTAACGCGGTCCTTAATAATAATTCGAAACCTGTATCCGTTTCCGACGAAACACGAATATTTCACGTTCGGACGAGCGGCTGCTTGAATATTTCGCGAACGCTCGTCGTCGGTGGCGAGCAGCGCGCGATTGCCGACCGAAACGTCCGGAAAACCGATGAATTTTCCGATGAGCGGCGCGAAACCGATCAATATGCAGAGCAGCCGCGAATACGTAATGCCCCGCCATTCATCGTTACCCGGCTATTTATACGCGGATCGTTTTTATCCCTCGAATGAATGACACAAGACACGCGCGATTGAAAACTCTTCCGCTAGGTCTGTGGGTATAAATACCCGGCGGATTTATTAGACGCGCGGCGGGGGATGCAAAGGTTATCACCGCGGGACCCGTATATTTAGAGCCCCGTGAACCGTGCCGCTTCGGGATCAACGGATCGATCGATCGATCGCGGTGATAAAAATGCGAGCCGGTGCCGCTTCGGTGTTTCGCGACTCAATTCGGGAAACCGCGAGTCGCGGCGGAACTCTCGGTCGAAAGCGGAATTCGATTTCACGCGGGGATGCGGAGTCGATCCGAGATCTCGGGCCGAGATCTCGCGAATCGCTGGCACGGGGCCTAACCGGTTGATTGGCCAATTAGGCGATAAGAACGGTTAACTCGATTTTCGGGACGACTGAACGGAACGGGTCGGTGCGGCCGGAGGAGGGCAGTGGGATCGGCGGCGAAGGAGGGATCGTTTTTCGGCGAGTTCTGCGGAGGACTTCCGGCGGAGAGGCGAGCAGCCAAGTGGCCAGTTCCTGCGCGCGCGGCGAACAACAGCTGTCCTGCTTTCCTCTTATTAATATTCATCGACAGATGGCCCGGAGGAAAGGAGCAGGCTGGACTTTCGGTAAATTTCGGTGACACGGAGCGAGGCTTAGGCAACGATCGCCGGATTCGCGAGAACATTCGCGCCGGAAGCGTTCGATTTCGAACTTCGAATCCTTTCGAGACTTTCCAACGATTTATGGAGTCGAATTTTTCGTCGTGCACTCGAAGTACTTCTACCATGCGTACCGCGGTACGACTCGATGGACGGAAACAGAGAAACGCATCCGTGATTTTATAGGCGAATCGCGAGGCCGGGAAAACCGACGATCTCCCGCGATCGAACGGCTTCGACGGGGGAAAACAAGCGTAATCGGCATGCGGCGGGAAGCTAGGAAAGGAAACGGATGCACCACGCCCGAATCGTTTAATCCTGAATCGATGCCGAACGAACGCCGCCGTTTCAATCCCTAATTGCATCGGACTGGCCCCTCTGTGTCATCAATCAGCTTCGAAATTGCTTCTATTACTTCCTCCTTCCTACCACTCGTCCGCCGTTTCTACAAGCAGGTAACGTTGTCCCTAATATTTCAATTTCGCTCCCGAGACGATTACCGTTCGCCGATCCCCGACCGATGGAAACGAACGTTCCGCTCGGAACACCGGTTTCTATTAGCGATCACTGCGACCGGGCCTTCGTCAACGATGAACTGCGAGTCTCCGTGCACCCTCGGCGCCCGAAGACTGCCAAAACACTCCGGTTCGTGTCGCGCGAACGAGAATTCGCGGGAAGATCCACGGAATGATCGTGAAATTCGATCGCTAGCTCGTCCCCGGGAACCGCGTCTCGTTTAACGAACCCTAACGCAATATCTCTGGCGTCCTTCTTCCGCAATTTCGCGCGATTAAACGATGCGCCGCCAACTTCGAGGGCCGAGTTACGCAGAATGGAAGGTTTCGCTCAGGAGCGACTACCCAAAAATTCAATTTTCCTCGGGCAACGTTCGGTGGCATCGTCGGCGGTTCTTTGCGGCAATTAACGCACACGCGTCGGCGATCGTCTGCAATATTGCATAACAAAGTTATTCGCTGTCAACCCTCTGGCTAATGAAAAAAAGGCGAAGCGAGCGGGAATGAGAGTCGAGGAGCGAGAGAACCAGCCCCACGGAGGGAAAGAGAGGGAGAAGAGTGCGCGCGTGACGTAGGTGAGGCAACGGTGCATCCGACTAGAACGAGCGACGCATGCAGAAGCTCCGGCCGCTTCACGCGAGAAGGGATGCTATTTCTGGCGACTTAGATTTCTCCTTTCTCTCCTCCCCCGTGGACGAGCGGCCGCTGCCCGTGCACGCGTGTGTTCGCTTCTTCTCCCCGCGTTCCTGCTCCCTTCTGCATCCCGTTCCTCTTTAACGAGCCACGACTTTCCGTTTCTCCTCGATGTCCCTTTCGCTTTCGAACGATATCGCGTTATACCTTCCCTTTTAACCCGTTAACCGAGATCGGGCTCCTCTCTCGCGGGGGATAATAATAATTTCCTACCGGCGAACGGCCGAGACGTTAAACCGACCGATCAACGCCGGTTTTCGGGTCGTCGCGGGCCGAACGGAAACTTGTTCCGACGCTGGAACTGTCTGACGAGTCCACAGTATCCAGGGAATCGCTGGACAAACCGATTCGGTTGTACCCGAATCGAAAGACGAGTAGAATCTAGAGATTGCCAGCTGTTTTCGCGAAACTCGAAGCGACCGAAGAATATCCTCAGAGCTGCAGTCCATTTCCTAGCCAGTTATCGCTGGTCGTTTCTATCCGTTATCTGTTGCGATTAGAGGAACGGTTCACCCGTCTCCGCGGTGAAAGAATCGCGCGGCGGGTACGGCGGTCTCAACGAAGCAACACGAACGAAGACGAGGGAACAGAGAGAAGAGAGAGGAGGAGGAGCGAACAAAGAGGAGGAACGGATGGACCGAGCGAGGGAGTGAATCGAAAAGGAACAAGAGTGCCGAGGGGGCGCACGAGAAACAGGGACGGACGAGGGGAAAGAGAGAGAGTGAGAGGGCGGGGACGGGGGCGAGAGAAAGAGAGCGGAGAAAGAGGAAAGGAGAGGGAGCGTTAGAAGCGTTAGAGGCGTTATGTAGCCGCGCGAGGTCAGAGGGGAACCGAGGGGATAGTGAATGAGCCGCAGGCTCTACGTTCATTCATGAAACCAAGCCGGAGAGCACCGAGCAGAACGAATTGTTACTGGCACTCGTACAATCCGACCGCTGCCAACGCGGCTGCCAACGTCAACTATCGCCGCGAAAATAGAGAAGGATCGGCCTATTTCGAACGAACCGCTTCTCTCGCTAGCGGGTCGCCGGTCAGGGTTAATTAACGATTTCTAAAAGCAACCGACACCGACCGACCCCGAGGCCACGACGCACAGTACGGCCGCCTGTGGACAAAACCCCGAAATTCGACTATTTACATAACGAACATTGAAGGTTAAAAATGTGTTGCTAAGCAGTCCCTGACTGTACGAAATGACTTTCATTCGAAAATCGCAGTTTCTCGCAAATCTCTCTATACAACGAAACGCAAGATATCCATTGTCATTGAAGAATCTTCGTAATACCCCCGTAACGTATACAAAATATAACCACCATACATTCAGCTCTACGCATCGTGACCTCTGAAGCATATTTTCTCTATCATTCATACTTTACAAGTTATCGAGTTTCGTCCAGACGATCGTCCGACCGCACTGTGCGCCGTCTTTCCGACGACTCGTACGGGAGAAACGAATGGGAGCCTCTTCCCCGTTATGACCCGGACACTTCCAGCCCTACCCGACGATTTCCCATGTTGCACTCCGCGATGCCGCAAAGTAGCCAGCCGCGAATGTCCAATTATAAATAGTTCTCCTTTGTTCGCGGGACCGAAGTGTTCGACCGTGTTCACCGACGGACCGAGCGGACGCTTTTAGTCGGCCGAGTCTCCCATCAATCTCCGTCAATTCTTGCCTCGTGATCTAAGAATACGTCAACCTGTTAACCGAGCAACTTTTCTGCTATGAATACACGTACGAACGTAATCGAACGCACAACGGAGGAGACAACACGCCACCGGCTAGGAATTCCGTGCCACTCGAACATGTCGGACGGAATTATGACGCGCGACAAATTTTACGAGACCCCCAACAAATATACGATTATCGAGACCTGCCAGAAGGAAGACTGTCTTCGAATTCCGGTGAACGGTTAGGTGCCTCTCGTTGGGGAAACTTCTATTTCGAAATTGGCCGGCACGCTTTAAAATTAAACCCTGTGTAAATTACGTGTCACCTGTGGGATCTCTCGGGTAAATTTAACCGGACCGACGCTCTCGACAGTCTTCCTTCCGCCTGCTCCGCTCCGGCGATTAAACAGCGTCTAACCACTGACCTTGATGGATCTGTGATCGATTGGGTAGCCCTTCCTGGTCCCAGGACTCTCCTCGTAGAAGTCCTGTTCCTCGTCCCCGTAGTCGTACAGGGATTCCATATCCATGCTGGCTGCAACGGAAACGTTATCCCTTAGTTCTACAAGAAAGCTATAAGGAAAAAATCGCGACGCGATTCGCGAAGAGACCTCGACGAGCAGGATTAACCCTTGAGGACGAATGTCGAGATTGCGCCGGGACCAAACTTTCATATTCAGAACACTGAGTTATAAATGATTTAATAACTGCACGGGATCAGCACATTTCCTTTGTCTCTATTATTTAAGCATCCGATATATTTGGTAGAATCTGCCGGTTTTCTATACTTTCAAGAATGTTCGTCCGTGAAGGGTTAATGTCGCGCCCTTGGAGGATGAGAGAACACTCGGAGATGAAGTTGCTAGACTCTAGCTACAGGATCATCCAAAAGTCCTGGGCGAAGATTCCTATGGCAATCGACTTGGCAACCGATGCGCCGGGGATTAAATCCCGGGCCAATTAGTTCCCCGATCGGTTCCGCTGCTGGTACCCGCCCCGTTCTTAAATAAATTCCCTCGTGTCCCTGAGAGGTGGTTATCGCGCGGCGTCACCGGGGAACGCCGCGTTTGATTCGCGCGTGTAAATTTCTTATTTAGGCGGTGGCCGCACGTGAAAAGCATAACTTTCCGCGTGGACGGTTAACGGCGGTCGCGGGCCGCTTTAAAAACAGACGTTCAACGAACCGCGTTTCTGAGCCGCGGGTCTGGAGATGCTAAATCACCAGCGTTCCCTTTTTATTTGCAACCTGTACAGTAAATTCTCTTGCACATGACGCCTCTGCTACGCCGAACGAGCCGTCCCCCCCTCCTCGCTCGGCGCCGAAACGCGTGAAACATCACGCCCATGAACTTCCCGAAATGGACACCGAACCCTCCAGCTAATCCAGCGAAATTTTATCAGGATTATTCTCTTCGACGCTTCTGCGATATTCTCGAGAAATTATTCTCGGGTTATAAACATCCTCCTGTGAATTACCGTGAATCGCGCCAACGTTATCCCTTTGCGAACGAAGATTTAGAGCATACAAAACCTGCTGAATCAGGATACCGTTCAATCAGTTGAATCATTCGTTTGCGACTTGTTATTCCAAACATGAACGTTTCCTCTCGACAAAATGTCGATGTAAAGGGTAAATACGTTAAAACGAACCGACTTGAAACATTGAAGATACTTCATTCCACGAGTCGTGAATCAAGAACTCTTTACAGAACAAGAACATCACGTCTTTCGACTTTACAGAACAAACACCCGCTAGGTGTTAAAGAGTTAACAATTCTGACAAATACTGGTAAACACCGAACGTTTCAACAGAAAGAATGGTTCCTCGATTTTCGCGTTGAATATTACACGCGAAACGTGCAAGCGTGATTTCACGTGAAGGTTCACGTGTAAGGGGATGCGAACCGCAGGCATAGCGTACGTAGGAGGTTTTCGAACCCTGGTTTCTACCAAGATCAGGTTACTCCGGCTGGAGAAGCCCGAACGACAGATGGTAGGTGGAAAAGTGCTCGAGCACCGCGCCATCGACTCTCACGGCTCTTTAGACACGGGCGAAATCTGCCTCGGCGCATACAAAGCGTTTCGAAATTCTGCTTTTTAACCCTGCCGGTCTCCGTGCAAGGTGTCCGTGTCTTCCCTATGAGAAACCTATATTATCCCTTTTCCATCCGCCGGGTTCAATGGGGTCCTCGAGCCAAATGGACCGGTCGACTCTATGAACAAATAATAGGAGATAGACTGTGTCGATACGTGAATCGGAACGGAGCACCGGGGAGAGAACTTTCTCAGCTCCGAAAACGCGCGAGCGAGCCGACTTAATTGTATCGTTGATTCTGGCAAAACAACGGCGAGGCTGCACGCGAGAACGATCGAAAACACGAAGAGCAAAGATCGCAGTTCCGCTACCCCGTGGTGCTGTTTTTCCACGAGTCGGCGATAAACGAGCCGTTCGACTCGCGATCGAGCCGATAACGCCGCTTATCGTCGAACGAACGGCTATCGATCCGTCGCGACAAAAGAATCGCGATTGACTAGCTTATCTGACTAGTAATTCTGAAAAATCATGCCGTAATGGCCCGGTGGAACGACGAACTCTCGATCAAATTCCAGAGAAGGACCACGCGCAGAATCGGTTCCCGGGATTCGGGCTCTCGCGATGAAGGAGGAACAATAACGAACGTGTCCGTTCGAATTTTAATATCAGCGGCATCCATCGTCGCGATGCCACGGTTATCGATCGTCGCAATCCCGACGCGAGAAATCAATTTGCCCCGACGTTTCGCCGACGTGAATTATAAGCACCACCGGCGATCCCGTTCGAGTCTTTGTTTCGCTTCTAGAAACACAGAGGATATCGTTCGGCAATAAATGTAAGGAACGCTGAACCGCTTGTTCGTCCGGCAATAAACGCGTGTACGTGGTAATTCAGATTAGAATCTCCGAGTGGGCAGATAAGGAAACGAGTGGTCACCGAAACGGAACGTAACGAAACGCGATGGATCACGGGAGTTCACTCGGCCCTCCCTACTCGAGGGATTAAGCCTTCCATCGAGCGAATAATTCAATTGTTCAACGAACGGAAGACCAACGCATGAATCCCTTTTTCTCTTAATACTTAACACCTTCGCGTCAGTGTTTCTCTCAGCTATCTTCCTAGCTGCAATATTGCATTAAACGCAACCAGCTTTTAGGAAAAAATACACAGCAGATTTTCTTCGCGAGAGATAGAATATTAGGCGTGATAAAATGTGCCATGTTGGTCGTGAAGGTGTTAAAGGTTTTGTGTATAGTTCAGCTACCTCCGGCGAGGATCTCGGATACTCTCAAAGATCCCGTCCGCGAAGGGTTAAGAAAAAGTCGACGATTAGGACGTCAGCTTCGACGGGCCGGTGTTCGCGCGTGTTTCCGTTCTATCTTGAAATCTGTAGCCTGTCACGGAAGGCGGGTCACGATCGGCGTTTAAAGTGTCCCGGCCGACTTCCGCGCAAACACGGGGATGCCATTTCCACTCGGATGCGTCTACCTGCGTTTCCGAGCAACGAAAGCGAAAGAAAAGATCGCTCGATACGGTGGGCAAAGTCGTGACGCTTCTGGTTTGTCTCACCCGAAGAGTTCCCTCGACCGGAATACCGAGGACACGCTGCAACTAGACGCACAACATTAGACCGAGTTAGCGGCCTCGAGGAGTTTTACATTTTCTGACCATAAATTCGGCCCGAGATGGAACAGAGGGGCCAACAGACGTGCAAGATGTTACAGATGTCCTGTGTACACGGTGCTCGGGAACGAACGGATGCCTCGCAGTTATTAATCTCGCGATCGCCAAATAATAAACGTCACGCTGCAAACGGCAAATAAACAATAAACAAAATCCAATATAGAGCAAAATATACAAAATGGAAAAATATAATATTAAATCAATATTGATCGAATTGCGTTGTTATTGCAGGTTCATCTATATCTATATCTAATATAGAAATGTTTTCAAATAATCATTTCATTCACTCAATTTGACTATTTGAAAACATTTCTGTATCACTAATAATATTAGTCGACATTCAGCAACGTAAGTAAACAAGAATAGCGCAATTCAATTCAATAATTCAATATTATATCTTTTTCCATTTTCTCGGTGAAATCGCGCGGCATTCAACGTGTTAATTAAATGAACTATAGTAATTCAATTTGTTTGAGGATCACCAGTGACCCCGTGGCATTCGACGTATTAAAAGAACGCTCGTGAAAAAAGCAATGCAAAATTAAGGATCCTATATTGAACACGAACATAACCTGAACGTTTCACTGAAAAAAAATTTCCGTCGAACGACATAACCTATATGGTTCGGTGATACGAATGAATCATCGGAAATGTAGAATAATATTGAAGCAAAATTCAGGTATACCGTAGTGCAGGACGCGTCCTGTTCCGAGGCGACGACGGGTTTGGGCAAGTACGTTTTTTCTGGGATACCGTGTACAAGCCGGCCTGTCCTTCGAGGAGTTCAAGTGTCTATTGTTTCAACTCCGCCGGGAGGAGCGATATAATATCTCTGGAGAAGCTGCCGCTGGGTTTCCAGATGCGGGCAGACGTTCCTGCAGGTCACGGGACGCATGGACCCGTATGCGAGGCGCAAGCACCCACGACGAGCCCACATGGGGAAAAATCTCAATGTGCCCTTGACTCTCGAACTCATTAAAACGAACCACTTTCCTTTTCTAAACAATAATTTCGTCGACTTCTCCTTCTTCCACCACTATTTCCGATTTCTCAAACGAACGGCGACACGCGAGGAATTCAAGCGGCAATTCGTACGTTGGGGAAGGACGCTTTCGATTATCGGAAGATCTTCGATAAATGTATCGAACTCGATTATCCTATCGTCTATTACGTAACAACCGTAATCGTGAATATCGAAAATGGCGGGAACTCGCGGGGAAAAATGGAGGGAAATGATCGTTCGCGATTGAAAAATTACCTTTCGTCGATTCGTTCGTACGAAACGCGTTCGTCGTAACGCGAATCGAGTCTCGAACGCGATTAACGTTTTTTCGCTGCGACTTTATCGCTTGTCCGCAGCGTTTTCTCCTTTCCGCCGTGTCCCGTTGATGCTCGCCATGTCAGAAGGTTCGCGCAGCTTTGTCATCACGGTACGTCTTCTGGCCTTTGATATTTGTCGCGTCTTTGGCAGAGAAGAAACAGCCGAGAAGACAAACGAGGGAAGCATGGTAGGTCGCGACGTTGCCATGCCGTCCTCCTCGAGATCCGAGAAAGTGTACAAAAACCATTCGACCCACCAACACCGAGGGCATCGCGTTCCTTTTTTAAATTGCCAGGCTAGCCATCCCATCCCCTCGTATACGCTTAACTTATACACTGTCCGACGCACTGTACGCCCCTCTCGCTTCGACGCACCGCACACCCGCGTTCCCCGTCTCCCTCCTTCCTTCCCTTTTTTCTCTCGTCTTCGTACGCGTTTCAAATACTGGCCGACGGAAATATTACCTACGCGCGTTACCGGCGAAATATGTTACGCAGACGTCGTATAAAAACTTAATCCAGACCCGACAGAAACTGTTTACCAGAGTGTAAAATATATTCGAATAAATTTGAAAACACAGCCTCGTACCACCGCCATGTTGAACTGAGGTTTTTTTGCTGAGATCGTTAATTTTCATCGCTCCCGATCGGTTCGCGATTATGGTCGTCCCATTAGACGATTCCGTAGGTGGCCGGATTTCGGGGGATCAGAAGAATATTTCGCCAGAATTTTATCCTTCTTTTTTTTAATTAATTAATTATGAACTACAGGACGCCTGGCGCGGTGTTGGTCAACGATATCGTTATTACTATTTACAACAGAAGCACGCGAAAGATTGTCGTGAAAACTCATTATCTAAGGATTACGCAGCACGCTCTTTCATTAATCATACCGTGGATTCTTCTACGCGTACAATGCGCCGCATTGTTCTCTTCGGCTATTATTGCAACAAATTCGTCTCATCAATCTTTACGTAGGAAAGTAATTTTCACCACTTACTTGGAGGCGGAGGGGGCCGTTAAAAAGTTTCTGCGAAACACGTCTACGTCCCAGCCGAACCGATAAAAACGAAATTCTACGTGACGCAAGATGAGATACGATTATCGCGAGCCGAACGATATTCACGATCGATACGGGATCGATACGCGAGAGAGGAAACTAATCTTCGAAATGTTTTCACGAAAAATCCGCGATCCCGTTCCGTTGCGTACGTACCTTGTTTAAAGTACGGTATTCATAACTCTTATCTTCGAATAGAAAACAATCACACCTTGTATATATTGCGTAATCTACTTGCCGAAGAATACATCTACCATCGATCGCAAGTATAAATCATTGATGTCACGACGTATGATAAACTTCAAGCCGATACAACCTTCGGGCTGCTTACACAGGACACCCAAGTTGCTCCGCGAATTGCACCGTATAAAAAAATAGTTTGCATTGTTACTCAGCCATACAGAGAAGTACACAAGGAATTGGATTAACGGCGTGGGAGTGATGTGGAAAATGTTACTTCGTCGACATTCTAGCCAATTGAAATGTATTATTGGCAAAAGCTACAACTCGTCGAACAATATGCAACAAATGCAACTCCACGAATATATATCCGAGATTATAGTGTACGTCTTGTCAGTGTTTCCAATTGCCCGTGGGATGCAAAGTAGCCAGTGAACGCTCCGTCAAAACAAATATAGGCCTGCCCGTACGTAGGCGTGCACTTTTCTCGTGACGATACGCTCTATCCTATCGAAAAGAAACTGCGACGGGTTCGCGTTCCGTTTCCGTATCGTTTTCTTATCGATAAATCGTAAATCAAACGATTCGGTACTGTTCGAAACTTTCGAAGATCCGCGTTCGCGCGCTACGTACACACGGAGAGCGCGCAGGTTAACGTGATCGCTTACCTGTTTTCCGACGTAAAATCCAATGGGGAACGCAACAGTGTCAAGCGGTCGGATAATGCACAGGAAAAACACAAAAAGTGAACCGAACACAAAACAAGAATCACGTGTACAACTGTGAGGCGCACGCACATCGGCAGCACTAACGCGGTGTACCCGTACACAATACAGATTACAAATGTATTATGGCTGCAGTCCAAGCGTTCATGAATGAAACCAAGAGCGGGCTCCACCTCCCCGCACCCCGCGGAAACGTGCCAGGGACCAATCAGCGGCCGAAGTGTGTAACTCGTACCGTGATTCGCTGCCACTCTCTGTTCCTTCCATTGGAGCGGCGCTTCGGTCGGGGTTAACGAATAGATAGATGGAATGCTCGCAGTATATTCAATAATATTATTTATAATCTTTTCTACGTTCAGTTTTCGACTGAAATAGAATAGAATAAAATAAATTAACTTTCACAGGAAGGTAAGGGAGACCATAGTGTACGCTGAGAGGATTTTATATTCGACCAATCAGGTTGAGGCATAGAGATGATCCTTTTCTTATGCTTATACAGTATAAGTTAGAAGTAATTCTAACCTATTGCGTATTCGAAGGTGTTCAATATCGACAAGTGATACCGAACTGCACGGTTTACAAAAAGTAAGAATTCCAGAATGATTATAATTATTTGAAATTGTATTCTTATTTTGGCGATACTTTCTTGAGTATTCTGTACGATAATTTTAGACGTTTCCGATAGTGCTTCAATTTAAATGAACATAACCTCATTTATTCGTTACACAGAGTTTTATTACGTAAGAGATATTGAATAATTTTTTAATCGATTGTCATTTATTCGAAGATATAGTTTTATAAATGAATGAAGCATTGTCTCTGTGTAAAATGACTAGTTTTAGTATTATGCGCAACATTTGCCAGTTGTCATTCGATGACCTTTGGGTGTCACTAAACATTTGTATGTGACTTTTTAGGGCACAATGCTTACCAAACGTCTGGTTATCAATGCACCGAAGATTCTGAAGCGGAATATTGGTATTGTTGCACCAGCGTTACAGAAAGCAACCGACCCAATTCAGAAATTGTTCATCGACAAAATCCGCGAATACAAAGAAAAAAGCGCGTAAGTTTATATATTCTTTTATAACGTTTGCTTCTACTTCATAAAACATTGATAAACACGAAGTTAATGACGTTCCTGTGATATTAAATTAATAAATTTAGTGGCGGCAAATTAGTTGATGTTACTCCTCAATTTGAGAAGGACAAGGAGGCTGAAATGGAAAGACTTGCAAAACAATTTGGCAGTGCAAACAGACAGGCTATGAATGAATTTCCTAAGATACAATTCAAAGGTAGGCATTTAGTTAAAAATAATTAAATATTTCATTTATTTGATATTTTTAAATACAAATTTAATTTCAGATGCAGATATACAAAAGTAAGTCTGTGAATATAAATTATGTAAAAGTATACATTTAGAACAGTTGTAATTGTAACATTTAATATTAATATTCAATTGTAAAAATACATATACATGTGAAGTTGTAAATGTAAGTATATTAAATTCCATTTTTCTCAAATACATATTCATGTTGAACATACTTGAATAGGAGATAAGTAGATATAATTTACAATTCATTTATAATACAAAAATATATAATTTCAAACCTATTTAGCAGGTATAAAAAGTTTTGTGTTCTCAATTATTTCCATTAATGTTTCCATGTTACACTTTCTAGCTATAGATTTACATATCTTAGCAAACTTTTCCATTTCTGTTCTAGAAATTAAAGTCTTAAAATCCCCAGAACAGGAACAGCGGTCGTTCATATTTTCTTTTTTAATTTCTTTACACCTATTACATTGCAAATCTTGTAACATGTAAGCCATACTTTTACGGTTTAATATATCTGTCAGAAGAAATTCTATTTCTTCGTTATCATAGCTCATTTTACAAAGAGGACATTTCCACAGATATCTACACAAACATAATTCATACATTAGAGTGAACATTCAATGATTTCTTATTAAATCATACATACCTGTTATTCTCCATAACACAATAAGTATCTTTACAAAGATCAATGTCTCTTGTATGATTACATGCTTTACAAATAATTTCTGGTAAAATTAAAGAAATACATGGATCTTTCCATTCAACTGCATCACTGAAACTACTAACTTTGATCAATCGTAACATATTAGTTTGCAAAGTATACACTTCATTATCAATCTCTTTGTCCAATGATAAAACCTGAAACAAAATTGGCATTTTCATCGTGATTTACGAACTAATTTAAGGTGATAAAATATTTGTTCAAGTACCTTACAAACTGCTTTAATCAATTCTAGTGCTGGATTAATTTTTTTACTGTCTTTACCATCTAAATCCAGGTTTGGATATTCTTCAATAGTTAATTCTTTCTGAGGAAGTTTTTTGTATACTTTCTGTACAATTCTACAACATATATTAATTACATATAATATACTATTTCTTTTCCGTTATATAATAAATGAAAAATTATTACAGGAAAAGTTTTTGAGACATATCTCCTGATATAAGCTTCTTAGCAAAATCCGCAGTGTTTTCAAATGCTCCCAATCCTAATTGCCCCGATAAACTTTGACTGAAACTAGTAACTCTTCTGTTAGGTCTTATTGTACAATTCAGCTGTTCATTTTCAACCATGAATTGATAAATCGCGTTTATGTATCCCGCTATTGCAGCACTAAAGCTCGATTGACATGCAGCTTCTTTTGGTAGACATTCCATTAAATTCCATTTCATTATTATCTCAGGCTAAATAAAAAGAAGTGTTTGATATTTTGTAACAGCAATATATACAATGTAGAACTTACTGAATCATCATCTTCATCCTCATTCTCGTCATCGAGAGTATTTGATTCAATATTTTTGTCTATATCTTTTGATAACTTCCCTTTCACGCCAGCATGATTATGCTATTAATTTACACAATTATTTTATTATTCGTTAATCAAAATAACCGTAAGGTCAATGCTGAAATCAGTTTTACTCACAACATCAAGCCATATTAAATATTGCCAACATTGTTCAAAGGTGATTTCAATACTATGAAAGATTTCTTTATTACGTATTGTTTGGACAACGAATTCCATGTAACCAAAGGCATCGCTAACTGTTCTCTTCTTAGTGCATACGATAATTTTATTAAAATTTGCGAAAATAACAATGGAACCTAATGTTTTAAATTCAGCTAATAACTGTATAAATAGTTTTTTCATATAACTATGCAGAGTTCTTCTTAATGCGGGATCATAAAGCAGCGCATTTGGTGAATGCAACCATCTAAAATAATATGGATTATAACTTACAATTATTTCATATACCATATAAAAAGTATCGACAAATGAAATCACCTATAGAAATGAATAATTTGATAATCTGCAAATACGTTTTTGTAAACTGAAACATCCAATAGCCAAGCATTGACCATACTTCTCAGTGTTCTGAAGGCAGGGCTACAAAGTACAGTCTCGTCATAGCTGGGAATTATACCTGCCATAGGATCACCTGTTGCCAGTTCCTATGAAAACATTAGGTATATAGCTTCATATGTTTGCAATTGTTATTTTATGTAACAAGGCTTTACTTACTTGAACAGTTGCCACATGTTGATTGTGAAACGCAACGAAAGAACTTGTTCCATCAATGTCATGAATATGATGATATTGTAACAAGGTATTCACAGCCAAACTTTCTATTTCCAATTCAATACATACGCTAGAATAGGTGCCAGGACTGTTCGCAGCGCAATGGGAACTTTCCTCGAAGTCGGTCAACAATCTGTTATCATCGTTTTCACTACCTCCTAAATCTGGTTTCTCTGTCGTAGAACACCACAACACAAAGTTATTTTTCTGCAAGTGTCTAGCATAAAACAAATCAGCGCCAAAGATCGTGGGATCGGCAGGAATGTTTCCAATAGGTGCATGAAAATACCGACACTGTTCTGACATCAGTTCAATGATTTGTTGACTCTTGAAATAATGACGCATCATTATCTTTGCGCCTACCTTCTGCCACTCTATTGTATTATATAAATTCTCAATATCTTGGACATGGGTGCTAATTAATGGGAAATCATTGAGTAATGGCATATGAGTCGTTAATGCTCGTTTGTCTAGAGCAGTTTGAGTAATGAATATCGTTGCGCCATGCCCCTCATTCTTATACGCTGTTACGGCTGCTTGCAAAATCCGACAAACTTGTTGGAAATTTGTTTCAAATCGTGTAACAAACTGTATCGATTCCGGTAAACTTTTTACTTTGTCTTCTCCGTGCATGGACACAACTGTACTTCGTTCTTGACCGTACAATGCATTCAAATTAGGCATTTGATTCGACGAAACTGAATCTAAGACGAAAATATGAGCTCTTTTGCTAGCATTCAGGAAAAGTGCCCAAATCGCTCTTTGATGATTGGAACTCCAATGGTGATACAGAAAAACATAATTAATTGCATGGACATCCTTAAGATATGGTTGTGCAGCAATAGTCTTGAATTCAAGTTGCTCTAAAGTAAAAGTATCTGCACCGTCAACCATGTTTCGAGCAGCCTTGGGATCTACTGCACAAACGCATCCTAATTGAACAACAGCTCTGAACTCTAGTGGCGTTTGTAACTCGTAGATTCCTTCGATCTCCGGTTTGCTTAAATCTATCAGCAATTCTTGGCTATGCTTTTGAAATTGCGCTTCTGGGACAGAGTACCGGTACAGATGACATACAGGCCGCGATCGAGGTAGAACTTTAGAACTTTTTGTCCAGGATACCTTTGTACCCGGTTCTGGATCAGGTTTTGGTATACGCGTATTCACATAAAATATGCGAGGTATTACAAGACGTAATTGGTGAAGCTCTTGGTCAACCAATACCCACAATCTGAATAAACCCGGGTCATTGGTTGGGGATATTTGAATAATTTGCCATATCGAGGTAAGCAATTTCTTTTGTGCTCGTCTTAGGAAACCACCTAAAGTGATTGTATTGTCATTCCTCGCAACACCCCAACTTACTTCATCCCTGTCGTTCGCAGACCGTTTACTCTTTTTACTCTTCTGATGTTCGGCCCTTTGTTTCGCTTGATAGGCCCATTTCTGTTTGTGGAACTCCAGCCATTTAAGTTTCTCTTCCTTTGTCGTTCCCATTGGCGGTGGTGAGCCTAAAACTTCCTTCCAGCTTTTGTTTTTGTCTTCCTCTTCCTCGGACTCCAATTGCCTCTTCCTTTTATGAACTACTGGTATCGGCCGCTTAAACGGCTGATCTCCATCTGCTAGATCTTCGATGTCCCGAGGTTCAGACGGACCTGCTTCTTCATCTTTATCATTATCTTCATCGTCATCATCTTTTACTTGTTCTCTTGGTACTACAGAAAATATATCACTAATCTTTTTCTGCCTGTGCGTCGCGCTCTTCTCCATTACTCTTTTATGCAACCAGTCCGGATGCTTTACTCTAGGTACAGGATTAGACACTCCTTGCATAGCTGCTGGAATGGTAATGATCTTCTGGATAGCATTTCCAAGCCGTTCTATGTAATAACCCCAGTCCAGAATTTGTCTTATATCGTCAGTCTGTATGGTAGGATCTTTCAGCCACTTGCGTAAATAATGTCTTCTGATTGTTGGTTCTGATTGAAAAATTGCCAGTGGTATTGCTCGTTCAGTGACTGGTGCACCCTGGGGTTTATTACTAATAATATATTTACATGCAAGCCCAGCATCTTTCACCATTTGATCACCCAAGAATTCAGCCAATCTTTTAGCGGTTGATATAGATGTAGATTTTTGTTCTCCGTAATCTTCTAACTTACGTGACATGGATTTGTTTTCGGATATCAGTTCAAACAATTCCGTATCTGACATGTCTGTACATTTGTTATACAGAATATCTAACCAATAATCTGCGACTTTAGCCACAGACGCATAGCATTCCTCCAGCGTGCTCCCTTTCAGAAAAGATTCGAAGACGGAAGTTTGGAAAATTTTAATCAATTGAAGTTCCCCTCTCCTCTTCACTTCAAACCCTTTCAGTTCAGCCAAAGAACCATCGAAGTTAAAGACGGCATAACGTTTTTTCAATTTCTTTCCTTCTTCCTTCGCAGCAGGTAATACCATAGCTAAGTATGGGCCATCTACCTCAAAAAATATAGAATTCTCACTTCTAATTTTGTAAGTAAGATTTTCGGCATCGACAAGTTCATGATACGCGTCATTAGTAAATTGGTCCTGCAAATATAATGCATAATATTAGAAGCTTAAGAATAACACGATTAAAAGTACTATAAACCGAACGTACTTTCACCATAAAATTGAGAACAGCATTGGGATAAGATATTGTAAGCCTCGACTTCTTTGGATGAGTGGTGTGCACAATTACGTTGTCCGGAAAAGAAGCGGGTAGAACGCACCAAATTCCATCAGTATCCAATTCCAGGGGTCGTCCAACTTTCTCTATAATTTCTCTAGCTTTCATAATAATGTGTGCTCCCGTGTAACATACTATACCTCCCATTTCCATACTAAACCATCGAGACCTGAAGCAAAGATATTGTTAATACTTCTAATCGCAAAAGGAAACGTGAAATAAATATCTACCCTTTTCTCATGACGTAACCGTAGAAGGAATTTAAAATACATTTATGGGCAAGTTGCAACGAATCATATAGTACTTCTCGACTTTTAGCAGATTTAATATCACCCGCATCTCCCTTTGCTACTGCTGCTGCAACTTGTTGTTTGGCAACTTTAGTGAGTGCTTTATATTCGTATCTTCTATCCCTGAATGCCCTAACGGTATCGACATAAAAGGAATTCTCTTTCTGGCAAATTGTTTGTGTCCTCTCCTCCATTCTTGTTACTTTAACTTTCTTGTAAGCCTTTTTACAATATTCCGTAAGTCTTTTTTTCTCGTATGCAGCTTGTTCTTGTTTAGATAATTCGTGATAGGCTCGCCGAGTACCACCAGGAAATTGTGGAGGAAATTTCTCAGTTTCGAGTTGTTGCTGCATCCTTTGGTATTCGCTTAAGCTCGCAGCCACTGTACAAAAAGTGTATCCGTAAAGTACTAAATCTCGATACTATTTAATTCTTTCGATGATTTTTTTTCACTTACAATATTCGCCTCTCCACATCCACTGCATGTTTCTTTGACAACGAGCTCCTGACACGTTATAGTCACATGCTGCACAAACGGTTTCATCTACCATTGCAGACGGTTGAAGACGATTAGTTAAAATAATGTTTGGATACATGGCACCGACGTCTAAGTGGTAAATCACGGGGTTTTCTAATCTGAGAGGCTGATTTCTTAAGGATTCTAGTTTCACCTTAATTTCTTGAGCTACCTCATCAAAATTTGTAACCATTTCCATTGGAACTTTTTCTTCTTCTTCCAAAGCGTGTTTTAAAGCATTTTCAACGCCGTTTATTAATTCATCCACTGCGCTTGGGACTATTTTGAAACGGCAAGGTATATCAGCTCTGAAAACACCAGATTCAAGAGCTTCTACATGGCCTCCAACATAGGTTTCTTGATCCAGTAAATGACCATCCTTTGTGAACTTGCTTAGCTCTGCTTCTTGTTTGTTAGGGAATATAATTGTGGCTTGAAAAGCTTCGACCATTAAAAGAGATTCACATAATGTTCCAGATCCCTTCCTGAGTATCTATTGTTCATGAGTATACTTTGTTATATGTACATACATTAAATATTATCATCATGAACTTACTTCATCTGGTTCCATAGGAATGATAGTGCACAATGCAAATATGAAAGGATGTACATATTTATAATAAAGATAGTATGTTGCAACTGCGTCAGAAACTGAATAATTTGCAAGAGTCTGTGGTTCTTCAGAAGCTAATCTGCACATATCTTCAGGATCCAGTTCCACTGGATCATACCTAAGTTTCGCTTTTGCAACAGCTTTCAAATTTTGAGAGCCTACAGGTAAGTATGAATCACGTCTTACCCAACTATGTATTAATAAAATAAAATTACGACAATATTCTATATAGTAAAACAGATGGAAGCATATAAGTTATATAATACCATAAGCAGTCCATATGCATTGCCGGTCTACTGCAATAAATTCCCTCACGATTTTTGGAAAAACCAATTCTGTCTTTCATTTCCATATTATGAAAAGCTGCTCTAGTTTCTACAAATGGCCAATCAAAGAAATCACCGTTATATGTCACGAATATATGGGGCCGAACTTCATTTATGTGATCAAAAAATCTTTTTATTGTAGCTTTCTCGTTAGGCTCGTTAAAAACAACGAAGTATCCCTCGAATTCTGGTTTTGGGGTATATTCAAAGTCTTCAATATCACTTGAAATGATTTCTCTATTTGTTATCAAGTATCCCTAAAAGTTAATGTATAAAAAAAATGGTCTGATACCAAGAAGAACATTATGCAATAAAAAAAGAGTACTTGTCCATCGATCATATATGATATCATCATGATCTGATCAGTATTAGCATCTGGAAACTTCAGAGGAAGCTTTGTAGTTTCAATATCATATGCTAGCACAATTGGCTCAGGTGGCACAATTATATCTTCTCTCTTAGTTATAATTGGCACATCATTTCCTCTTGTCCTTACAGAATACCAACTCCCACAAAAGATTTTCATGTCTATAGATACTCTTACATGATGTGGTACATCATATTCCCTGCACAAATATCCATATTAACATATACATATATTTTACTATACATACAAGATGTAATCCAACAAACATATACCTAATATCAAGAATATTATCTGCAAAATCAATGGTCTGCTGTGCAAAATCTCCAGTTCCAAAATTTTTATTCAGGACACTTGATAACATATCTCTATAATAGGTATGGCTCTTTTCTCTCTCTTTATTAACTTTCACAGCTTTCATTACATCACGTCTCACTACAGTCAAATCTACCGTGTTGATAAAGGACAATTTCAAGTACTTTTGTTTTAAACCAATTAAATGATTAGGCTGCAAAGAAAAAAAGAAATATAATATCTCTTCTAGTTGATCTATATTTTTAAAAATCATTTTACCAAATCAAGATCTTCTTTGTAGACTGATTCGATTTTGTGTATAATTCCACTATATTTTTTATTTAAACCAGTAGAAACTTCTGCATAGGTATCCTTTTTACATAAAATATAAAAATATGGACAGAATGGATAAGAAATCTTAAATCTACCGCAGTCTTCTTGGAGAAAATAATAATCTACTCCACTAATTAATCTTTTATCTTCCTCTATGATTTCTGTCTACATAAAAAAATAACAATGTAAGGCATGGTACTATAAAGTAATTAAGATAAAACCTAATTGATTCATTGCAACTTACTGCATGCATATTAATAAGGAATCCTGTCCTTTCTTTTGTATCAGTTACCCTGTGAAATCCATATAGTCCATCTACTCTAATATTCTCATTGGCTTCATTTAGCCTTCCTCCTGAAGTCTCTCTGAAAAGTATGATAAAAATTATAATACATATTGTTTTTTGTAAAAAATATTTGTATAAAAACAATACCCTGATGAATTTCCCTCTTGATTTTGATCATTCTTGAAATTAGACCTATCAACCCTGTATCTTCCTGTGTTTTGTAAACTTGTCATATTCTACAATCGTCAGTTGCTTAAATAGGAATTGAAATTATTCTTTTAATACTGTTGATAAAAATATTATTATAACATAAATAAAAACTAGATGTGTTATTTGTGAAGGCACTGAAAGATTCGAACACTATGCGTACAGGTTGTAATTTGCCCGCCCATACTAGATGTATACAGTTAGATTGCGAATCTACAAGACGTTCATATAGTAAATGTTCAATAATATTTGCATAAAAATGTTATAAGACGAAAATAAGATAAAAGATTATTCTTTTTATTATAAAAAATTGTTATATCATATAAATAACAACCAAAGGGTAAGAAACAATTAAAAATGTTCATGAGATGGAAGTGATATTGTAATGGAAATTTATGCTCAAGAATATTAAGAATAAATGATTGGAGTTAGTAATAAACTGAACAACATTGGGAAGATAATACTTTCAATTTTATTTAATAATTATCCTCATCCAATAGCTTGGCAGAAATAGTTTGTTTCTATAAGAAAATTACTAGACCTGTGATCTACAGGCGTAAAGAAAAATCCCAAGACTTATCGATTAGGAAAAAGGGAGCAAAATTGTAGGTGGCTCCAACGACAGTGATGCGGTTCGACAACAATCGTTGTGGCTTGTTAGATAAATTAGTTTTGTGGTTCCAGTGAACGTGGCGAACTTAAATAGATGAGAAAATTAGATGCACAAGAGGCCTGGGGTGCCGATAAATTAGAAGCGCAATTAGAAGCAGCTCGGGATGGTTTACGAGGACTCGATCGTAGTATTCGGAAAATCCTCGGCCGGGATCTTCCCGACGGAGAGAATGGTCCAATTCAACCACCACCCAGGTTAAATTCAAGATAATTCTTAATAAAATATGTCCTAGGATGATTTAGAAATTATATATATTTCAAGGATGCAATTTTATTCAATAATTCATTGATCATGCAATAAAATACTGTTGTCTACAAACATAACCTATCTCTCGTACTCAAAACTTCTGATGTGATTGTATTAGATGTAAAATTGTTGTTAAGTTATATTAATTTGTTAGTGTAAGTGGATGTATTATTTCCTTGTGAATGTAATCTACAATACATATTTTTGTAATGAAATTACAATAGATTATCACAGAAGAGGCCATTACAAGAGGACAGACGACGTGTTGTATCAGACTTTGTCAATAATGAATTACCTGGTGGGAAACGTAGATGGCAGGGATCTAATGGAGAACCAAAGACAGTTTTCAGTCGTTTAAGTGCACGAGTTCCTTCCAATGCTGATGATAGTGCTGATGAAGATGATACTGTTATTAAGGTAAGTCTACATACGATACATTGATCAATGTTTTTGAGTTTACAGTGATTGAAAGTATTCTTGATTACTATTCATTTCAGCCGGCTGTGTCTTCAAGAGTAATAGCAACCCCTAGAGAAATTCCATCTAGACAAGAAGTTATCAGAAGGGAAAGAATAGATGAAAGAAGTAGGCAAAGGAATAAGAGAATGTTTGGTGCTCTTTTAGGCACCTTACAGAAATTTCGACAGGAAGAAACCAAACTCAAAGCAAAGGTACATTTTCTTTTAGCACAAATAATATATTCATCGTATTACTTCTTGAAATACTCCATTTTTCTGCAGGAAGATAAAAAAGCTGAAGTAGAGGCAAGAGTAGAAGAGGCACGAAGACGGGAAAAGGAAGAGTTACGAAGAGAAAGACAACAATTATTTTTGTCTCGCAAACGACAGCTAGCCGAAGTACGAGCGTTGGAAGCGAAGTTGGCACGTAGTCGGCAATTCCAGGACTGGCGTGCTGCGCAATTACCACTTGCGTCATTTATAAAAACTCGTGCTCAACCATCTATTTATTATGCACCGAAACGTAAACATCCACAAACTGACATTCTTTTGGCTCAGTCTGCGAAGGAACTGCATGGTACGCGCATTCAGAACGATTCTTCTATTTTTAATAAATTAATTCTCAGTGTCTAATACATATTTTATATTACAGAGGAGGTCGAAAGAAGAGAAAAAGCATTGGTCGAAGAGCTAGAATTAATCGAAGTACAAGTAGGTCTTGGTAAACATCAACAAAACTTTGATGGATCCGCAACGATAAATACGACATCGGAAATCCAACAATCGGCAGAAGAGGGAGAAGAAAATCGTGATCCGAATCCGGAGAAAAATTCAGAATCTGAGAATAATGAAACCGCGGAAGTTTCAGGAAAATCCGAGAAGGATGAGAATTATGATAATAACTCGAATGAGGTTGAAAAGAAAGAGGAGGAGGAGGAGGAGGAGGAGGAGGAAGTACAAGTAAATGAAGTGAAGGATGAGAATAATGGCTAGTATTAAATGTACTTAAGATGTCTGTACATATTACGTACATTGGATGGTCCAACAAAGAAAAGGATGGAGTTTTTCGTACTTGATACTTGACTCGTGTGGATAAAAATTTTACAATTTTTCGAAAAAATTGTCACTTTCTACTTGTTCTCGCATAGGTATAAATTCATTCCCTTCATCGTATTGCATACGCATTTTTCATCTTGCATCGGTCGACGAGTCCCATTCAAATTATCCATAAATGTAAGAGACTAGTTGCAGTTTATCAGAATCCCATATTTTTTAAATGTTACATATTTCTATTATGGCTATTAGTAGCGTACCACTTAATTAAGTAACAACCACATTTCAAGTAGGACGGAGTAACTCGGTGAAAGAATAAGTATGTCGATAAAATACCATAAAATAAGTCAAAAGATTTTTAGATTGAAAAATTATGTATAATAATACATTCATTTTTTCCTTTGTAACAGTATCTGTCTTTTAATACATATGCGACAAAGAGAAGCGTTAAATCAACAATTTAATGCTTTACGTGTATGATGGAATAAAATGTATGAATTCAAACGTCTTCTGACAATGTAACACAATTTGAATTTTTATGCGAACTTGTATACTTGCGTTATATTAATTGTAGGTCGTATCTAGTAAAAAGACTCAAATGTGTAAAAGACACGAGCAATATCTTTTGAAATAGCAATATTAAGAATAAGTGTTTTAGTTTCTCTTAACAGATACAGTAAGTCGTCTCTATTCTTTATACGGTGAACGAATTTAAACGGATTGGCTAGAATGAAAAAAGAAAGGAATGCGCAAAAATAAGTTTAAACGAAAACCGTTTTATGTACATGATTGTTTCAGATCTGTTTTATTTTTATTTTTTAAATACCTTTACTGGTATTGCATGATATTAATAAAACTTACCAATAAGTTAAAATAAGGCTTTATGAAGCTGCAACTTCCTGGGATCTAAAAGGAACATGACAAATTGTCTGCATGGAATCTATTTAAGAGAGAAGCAGTTATTTTCCAAGCATTTCTCTCGCATTCTCTCGACGGTTGTGGTATGAAGAGGATGCAAAATTACTTGGTGCTCATCGCCAGATTCCTTACAAATCATCGTATACGGTACCATTAATAACAAATGTATTACCATCAACTGAATTAATCTGATCCATGTTTTCAACGAGTCAATTCAATCTTTTACAATCAATTCGTTTTTCGCGGCAATTCTGAACGCACCATCGATAGTGTCAAATTATAATCGATAGGTGTCTCGGGAATCAGTTCAATAGAGGGCGTACGTCACGGCATCATTCTCGCTACATGAACGAGTACGCTATACACGTACTGTGATACATAGAATATCATTAATTATCTAACGCCTCGTTAACAATTGACGATGAATAGTATCAATCCATTATGAAACCGATGACCTGTGTGAGTAGAATTTAAATTCCTTTCTTTCAATTCTCGAAGTTGGTAAGTTTTCGAATTTCACGTAACGGTCATACTCGAACGAGTTTTCCACTTCGGGCGAGTATCTAACTCATTGCCGGTTGATTTAGAAATGGAAAAAGGAAGGAACAGGAAGAAGCGTGATTAAACGTGGCAATAAGTTAACCAATTTACACGCGGAACGCTGGTTTCGAAGCTTCCGAGGCAGATTCGCCGGGACTTTCTATCTTCCCGGTAATATTCGAGGGTAGGAGGGGATGGCATGAAAGGGGCGTTCCGCCATGCAACCTCGGAATATGGCTAATGCGTCTCTGCGCCGTCGTCTCTATCCTCTATCCTTCTTCTTCCCGAAAGCCCGGCAAAATAGACACACGGAATGGTAAATAGTAACCTTTTTACAGAAGCTGCGCCTAAATACGATTCAGTAATGCTCGCCGCATCGGTAGGTGTATAATACCCACCAATACAATTCAAATGAATTCCCTTTGCAGTTCGAAAGTACCGTTTAAAGTCACATGACTCAATGTTCGAATCATAGAATAGAAATTCGTCATTCATGGTTCGCGAATATTTAATTATTTTTCCCAATGTTCTACCAGCTAATGGTGTATAAGCTTAACACGTTCGCTACCAACGTTTGTTTCAATTATATTTCATTCCATAAATCTTCTAAACTATTGAAACAAATGAAGCTAACACGAGTCATTGACTCCCTGAATGTAATTTCGTAGTATATAACTTGAACTGACTGTATCTATAGGATTAGTTTGATTTTCTTTATATAAAATATAGGATTGCGGCCCTCGCAACTATATGACACTGGTAGCGAACGTGTTAAGGAATTTCACGAAGATCTAGAATAATTTCCATGTGTAGAAAGACCTATCGAATGGGTATACAATGAACAGGCAATTCTTATTGATAGAACGTTTCGAAATGACAAAAGAAAGAGATTAAAAGTGGGACCGACAACGCTCGGTATCGAGTAGCGCGGAAGCGTGAAGCGTGCGACGCGACGCGACGCGACGCGCAGCGTCGCGGAGACATGAGAGAAGCCGACAGGGGTCGGGGGTATCCGAGCTATTTGTACACCGAATGGAAAACGCGGACCGACTCGCCTCCAGACGAAAGGAACGGGACGCTTTCTTAATTACCGCGTACCACCCCGCTTTCATGCTCTCTTCTTCCTCTCTGCGTACTCTATTTTCTGAACGGCATTGTTTGGAAGGTTCAGGATCGCGATTTTAGGTGACTGAACCTACAACAGGTATCCTCTCTTGCGAACAAACTGGGAAATCTCGCTGCTTTGTCCCTTGGAATAAGTTCGTTGCTGTTAAAATCGCTGATCAGAATAATAACATCCTGTTATCAGAATTAAATTTCACATTATTTTAGAGCGAGCCCAAGATGGCAGGCGTGCTCGAAGATGGCCGACAGTTTCTGGTACTTATCCGTCCTGTTGTACTTTTTGTCTCTTCAAAATTTATCATATCGGCCATTAATTTTCTAGCGTGTCATGCCGCACTGAAGGGTCTTCTTATTGCCAAGTTTCAGAGAGAATAACGAAAGTACTTCCGTCGCAAACGGATTTGGATCCGCGGTCGGAAGAAAGTCTCGTGGCACAGAGGACGGCTTTCAGAGGTTCCCGAGTGTAGCAAAAGTGCGCCCGTCAAGATGATCGTCGGCCCTCGTTCCCAGGAAATCGAGCATTCTCCGGTCGACGTTGACGCCGAGACTTCCAGCCGTAGGAACCCGCGGTCCATTAATCGCGCGTACGCTTCTAATACATTCTATTCTATTCTAAGCGAGCCAGATACGCGGCGGACTGTCCCCTCTCTTCGCCAAGTTTATTTACCCGTTAATTTATTAGCGTATGTTGGTCGTGGCGGAGCTTGTAATCGAGCGCGACGGAGTTCGCGAGGCCCGCGTGCCGTAACACCGAACGCTACCCACTACTATATAGAAGTCACCGTATTTTAAGGGGGTTGCCGGAGACACCAGAGAAACGAGACACCTTTATATCATGCCTGAATCCACTCACTCTGAAAAAGCCCTGACGTGTATTTGCCGTGTTAATTTATACACCCATTCACGGCCAATGTCTGTCCACTCCTCAGATATTAGAAGGAGAAATTGTTCGGCGAAATCTGCGAGCCTCTGATGAATGACCCTTAACCTTTGCGAAACTTGTCCTTGCTCTTTCGAGTTCTCATACGTTTCGCATGATTTTTAGGCATTCCTCGTCTTTGGAGGTTTCCGGTGGCCATAGGAGGATCAACGAGGAATCGAGTCTTTCCGGAAGATCATTCCGTCGACGTTCTCACACCCTTGCGCAATCACGCTACAGGTTTCGGGCAGAAGAAGTCCCCACGCGCATTTCCCTTTGCTTCCCGCGGTTAATAAGAGCGGCGCGCGCTTAATGAGACCGAGGAAAGTTGACACTGAACGATTTCCAAAGAAGTAGCTCGTGGGCAGGTTCTGTCGCTCCTTTGACTAGAGTAATAGAGTAACGGGGCGGGCTATCTCACCGCAGAGTAGAAAGGGGATATTCGTATTTCAAAGGGACGGCCCGTCACGCCGCAACGGTCCTCATTATGTTATGCACGCCTAAACGTCAGGAGAAAAACACGATCGCGGCTATACGTCGAAAGCTGGGTCCAGTAGTCGAGGGAGTTTTACGCGGAAACAGTTCGTGAAGAGTCATTCAACGAACGTTCTTTATGAAGGTGGTTCCGTCATGTCGGAGATTATAATATCGTCTGTCGTTATCAATGAAATTGATTGATTTCTAAAAATGTGCATTATATTTATGTATATGTAGTTTTTAGGGGTGTAGAGAGAGCAGAGGATCATCGATGTGCCACGAAATTCTGCAAGGGACACGCCCGCGAACTTGATATTGCAATCCTATTTGAAAAACTACCATTGGTGATCGCAGACGTGGACCCATGAAGACGGGAACGCCGAGTGGGTGTCTAATTTCGTCGAAGAGGAGGGATTTCACGCTCGATCGACGCTGATTGGGCAGCGGCGAGTCGTTTGTTTTTATAACTCGGATTGCGAGCGTGCGCGCATCTATCCACACAAAGGGCGACCCCGCGCAAACTCTAGCTGCTATCTGTTCTCACATTGAATAACAATTGAATAACGAATCGCATCGTAGAGGATGCAATCGATCGACTCTTAATTGCCAATGATTTCGAACGTTCGAACCTGATTCGCGTCTGCAATGATACGTGTAACAGGTATTTCACCCCAGCAATTCGAGGGGTTACTGCGTATTTCGCGGAGCATTGTTTCTCTGGAAAAACAAGAGAGGAAAAGATTACTTTCAATGCAAGCTAGTACGCATTAAGAACGATATCGCAGCTCATTAAACGTTGCACGCTCATTATCATCGATTACACAGAAATGGCTTCGATTATTCGGAATGAAAGCATTAATCATGCGGCCCACTCTATCGGCTGTTACGCACGCGAATTACAAGCCGCGATCCACGCCGAAGACCGAGTGTTCAAAGCGAACGTGCAAGTAATCATAAAGTCAATGCGTTTAAAGTCAATTACACGAAACGTAACGCTGACGATGTGGAATGTTACATAGCCGATAGGTTCGCCGAATCGGAAACTTGTGGAACGTATCCGGATGTGGAACACGTCGTTCCGGAAATTGCAGCTGGCTCATTAAGAATCCAAAGATGTTCCGATTGCGACGAAAGAAATGTCGAACGGAAAAAAATAGGAAATCCAGGAGTTTTACGGCTCTTCAACGGTCTGCAGGTTGGAATTTATCTTCAGTTGCTCCGGAAATTTCAATGGAGCAAATAATATTCTTTTTAGAAGCCAAAACATTTGTTTCCTCAATTTTTGTTCTCTAAACTTTGAACCGCATTGGCTTCTGAGCGACTCGTATAGGTAAATACTTATATATCCACTATGAAATACGCGTAACGAAGTGGTCTGAATTATTTCAGCTACCGCGGTATGCAAGGACAATAAGAATACGTATGTAACTGATTGTAGTTCAAGGCAGACTTTTTATTTTCATTTGACGTCCCGTATTTATATCTACTTTACATATAGGCGCGGGAGGATCGGAATTTGATGAACCAGGTTATCGAGAAGTTGGCCTGATCTCCACACGATGCTGAAACGTCAGTTGACGGAAGATTGTATCCGGAAAGCCGTAACAGTTCTCACTCTTGGGATGCGAGACCGCAAAAATGAAGAACCGTACGCCGGTTCCAGCGAAATCAAAATGGCAGCCTCAGTAATGCCGACGGTCTCCCGTTTAAACCGCTGCTGGAAGTGAATACATACCCTGTGCGCGCCGATCGATCGGGAACTCGATTACCAGTGCACGGACAACTGAATCCCGACGGCCTCGACGGTTCTTCAGTCGTCGCTTCTGAAACAAACTTTCCCCTCGAGCCGCGGAAGTTGCAGTAATTAAACAGATCGCCGCGGGAGATTGTCTCGAGCTGCAACTATTGTAGATCGTCGCGTTCCATCTCCGTTGGAAATCTCTCGTACGCATCTGTACTTTCCACCGAGGGAACAATGCCACTTTCGATCTTGGACCGTTCGGACCAACCGAACGTGCAAAAGAACGGCAGTCAAAGGTATCGCGCGGCTTGCCAAGATGTAAATACCGGTATCGCGGGGGATCTGAAGCACCGTTGTATTCTCGAACTCTTCAGCGTGCCAAGTGAGCCGTGAGCAAGGAAGCAGATTAATGTTCGACGTGCAAAAATTTCAGTTTAATTATAGTGGCGGCATGGCGGCCGGGAAAGATGGTTCGGGACGCATCGTTACCATCTAATCCTCCGGACGTTACGAAGTAATTTGACGCTAATCCTTTATTAAATTCATGCTATCAATTATGGCCACGCTCGACGGGAACTTGACGGACTTACCTGACGACCGTTTCAGACGTTTCGGCGGATTCGCCGGCTGCCAGCCTGGAGGAGTGAAAGGGACGCTTCGTCGGTTAACTTGAAGGAAAATATATATTTCCCAATGACAAAAGTTACATTCCATAAAAAAAAACATGGCAGAGGACTACAGTTATGTAATCGTAAAGCGATCGTGCTCGATCGTCGCTTGAGTAACATCGATATAGCTCCTTTATTTCACGTCCGTCACTGTTCTTCTCGAAAGCATACGACACACCCGTAACAATTATCTTATAAAATCCATGCAAGTATCGAAGGAAACATTCGAAAGAAAACGCGTGAAGATCTACAAAACGTGAACAGCGTGTAAAACTCTTTGGAAAGTTATAACAATCTCTGTACCACTGTCTCCTCGCGGTTCCTCGCGCGTACGGTGACTTACAATGTATTGCGTAATAGTTTCTGTATGGCACTCAGTAAAGGCACTCTTGACATTCGATTAATGGCAAACGACGATAAAAATATATAATACTGGTGATGATATACGCTTCATCGTTCGAGACACCGGCGAGTATGGCTCCGAAACGTTTCATAATCGTCAGTCTCACAATCACACGAAATGATTCTGTACATTGTCTTCTGTTACAAAAGTCTCACGGGCGCAATAGCGAATCATCATGGGGATTCAAAGTCAATGCGATCCAACTTCGGAACGATCGATCACGGACACTGCGCTCGTCGTTTCACTCGCACCACTCACAGTGCTCCTCCGATCTTCTTCCTTCGAAGAGGTGCAACCCATTTTCTCGCGGTTTCACTTTTCAAATGACTTTCAACTCTTTCTCCTGACCGAATCGTCTCAATTACAGGGACTAGCAGGTTGACTATTCGCTGCGGAGGACTGCATCATGATCGACTGGACGGCGAGCACCGGTGACGCAGTCATTACAGGTGTCACGGAGTCCGTGTGATGATGGTGGTGATGATGATGGTAAAGAGCGGACGCGTAATACTGCTGATGATGGTGGTGATGGTGATGCGGATGATGGTAACCTTCCTCCTCGTTATTGTTATTGTTGTTGTTGCTGCTGGTGTTGTTGTTGTTATTGTTGTTATTGTTATGGTTAGCAGCAACGTTCTCGTTGCTCTGATGATGGTGATGGCCGTGGTGATGATGGCTGTTGTTCACCGACGCGCAGAGCGGCGACGTCGGCGACGAAGACGACGGGGAATTGGTCAGGTTGCAGCCTGTCGCGAGAATGTCGTGGACTGTATGGGGACTAGGCCACTGAAGACTGCCGGTGGTTGTCGGCTGATGGCCAGCGTGGATCGAGGTCGGCGACGAGGGCGACAGCTTGCTCGGCGTGGTCGGCCCAACTGGAAACGCACCGGTACCAAATTGGTAGGAACGGGTTGTTTCGAATTCGTAAATCAGCGCTCGTATCAGGATGGAAGAAAGAGACGCGACTGTTGCCTGATATCCCGCGAGCTCGCTGCTAAAACTGAACGCACGCACACGTCAAGTTGCGCTGTTGGAGAACGACGCCCGAGAAGTTAGACTTTCGGTACCGTGCCGCGAGCCAGCCGAGACCATCGACTCTAGAGAGTATCGTCGGCGCTACTTCGCACGTGACTGCCGTTCCGCGCAATGGCCAGCTTCAGATTGCGTGATGAACCCAATAGGTCGATGTTTGAACCGGAAAGTTTGCTCAGACATCGCTGCGTTTCCGATCAATCTTGTATCTTGTTGCCTAAGCTCTTCGTCGCGTTACCGTGTATCCCGGTTTGCAGCGTCCCGCGCAAAATTCCCGGTCAACATTGACGCAAAGAAAGAGTGGAATTTCGAGCTACCAACCTTGATGGTGATGATGATGATGGTGATGCGTAACAGGCGGCGGCGTCGCGTGATAGGGCGTCGGCGGGTAAGGGACAGGGCAAAGCGCGGCCCCCGCGGCCGCTGCGGCCGCGTATAAATGATGATGATGGTGATGATGCGCCGGATGATGGGGATGATGGTGTATCGCGGTCGCCGCGCCGACCTTGTTCCTCAATATCCTGGAAATGCTGCTCACCGAGGGCACGTTGTACTTGTCGCAGACGCCGTCGGAGAGCAGTCGGTCCCTGATCTCCCAGGCGAAGATCCCCGGGTCCTTGAGCTTCAGCTGCTTGATGTACTGGACCACCTTCGGGGTTGTCACCCGGGGCTTACTGCCGCCGATCGCACCCGGCAGTATGCTGCCAGTCTCGTGGTAACGGGCCAAGATCTTGCTGACACAACCATGACTGACCCGCAGTTGCCGCGAGATGTCGCACGGCCTGATGCCCAGCTGGGCGAGCTCCACTATTCGCAATCTGACAGCGTTAGGCAAGGGCCGCCCGTTCACGAACACACCCCCCAACTGGTTCACCTCGCCGTACTGTTGCTGCTGTTGTTGTTGGTGCTGAGACTGCTGCTGCTGTTGCTGTTGGTCGCCACCCAAATCGGACGCGTTGCTCTCTGTTTCGAAAAGAGAAGGAAAAACAGCCGTTAAATTATAGGTTCCCCTCTTCCAAGGTTTTTATTACGCTCGGCTACGAGGCTGGACCCAGGACTATTAAACTCTCGATCGATCCGAACCTCGTTTCCTTCGATTGCCGCGCTCGTGCGAGACCCTCTGCCTCTGATACGGTACGAATTCGATTAGCGAACTCGGCGGCGCGCTCGCTCGGAATGCGAGGGAGGTAGAGTGATCTAACGTCGATTCGGTGGGACGCCGAAATAACGCGACAGTAATACACACCGCATCGAGACTTACACCTGGCGCTGGGGTTCGTTTTAATGAGACGCAGATGTAGACGGTGGTGAACACCGAGCGCCGCTCGCTCCCGTTAATCCACGCTCGCTTGTAACAACCCTTAATTAGCGAAGCGATGCCCAGCCAATTGCCCCTAACTGCATTCCGAACCCACCGAAATTCCGTACACGCGAGTAACCAAAGCATAACAACCCGTTACGAGAATAATAAGACCGGCTATCTTTAACCGGGAGGCAGGCGGTAAGAGTTACTTTCGACTGTCTCCGAGCAGCTCGATGCCAGAAGGGTTCCACCTACGCGTCTTATCTTTCAATTATCCTCGAAACAAATTGTCAGGCCAATTGGAATGTCTCTTCCGGGTGTCCAGTCGTAAATCTAATAGGAACCCGTTTCCTTGTGATATAATAAGATTTCGAAACTAACTATAGCGCTGCATCTTCTATTCAACGACTAATTTAAAATCGCACTGCATTTCCAGGGTCGCTGCAGAGAAGTGGATGGATCCGCGAGGAGAGGAAGTGGCGCGGACCCGTCATGGAGGACTCCTCTTCCTGCCCGCGGAAGGGACGCTGCAGAGAAGAAATTTATGTGGCCCTCCTCGTCCTCTCTTCAACACTCTCTCTCTCTCTCTATCTCTCTCTCTGCGCACAGAGCGAGCCGGTGGAAGTACTACAGAGAAAAAGAGCAGCAAAGAAGAAAAACCGCACGACGGAAAGGAGGGCCTCGCGATGCCTCCCGTGATTCCTGGAACAAGAGTTTCGCCGGCGACGCCGCCAACCGTAGAGACGTGTTTTTGCGCGGTTCCACCGTCCACCATTTTTTTCACCATCTTTCTTCGCATCCCCCCGATTCGCCGCGCAACGCCGTATTTCTTCTCGGAGGCGCGAAACGCGCGACCTTTCCGCCACATCCGAGTCTTCGGGCTTATTGATGCTCCACGGAGGGAAGATGGAGTCTCTTGAATTACAACGCTCGGAATAATCGGCTGAGTGGAACGGCTTTACAACACCCCGAGTTACCGCTTCGCAACGCGCGCGTGATTTATAGAGCGAATATGGTTTTCGGACGACATTCGAATCAAGAACCAATCGACGACAAGGCACCGCCGTCGAATCAAAGGAGTTCTGCAAACGGATTTCGTCCGAGATCCGATCGGCGAATGCCGTGACGGGGTTTCCCGGAATCACCCCGCTACGGACGCCCGAGCGAACCGCTGATTCGTGGAACGACCCCGACGTGGCCCGTTAAACTCCAACGATTTGGACTTAATGAGCCGCGTTACATTAAAGGCCCCGTCTTTTTGCCAGCGAACGTTCGATCGCGAGGGAGTAACGCTCGTTAAACCGGAGACAAGCCTCGTGGTTTATTCGCTCCTCGGCCGGCTCGCTTATAGGTGAGTAATTAATGAGGGGATAAACCGTTCGTCTGATAGATTTATATATACGACGAATATCGCGGTTTTCCAGGAGGCCGATGTTCCTGTCAACGCCGCCGAATGTTGCGTCGAGGGCGAGGATTGAACGGAGGATTAATCGAGTTGGTAAGACCCGTCTGCGCGGAGAACGTTTAGCGTGTTTCTTTTAAATCGCTTTTACCATATATATTCTCAGCCATGGTTTTTCTTGTTCCTCTAGGCATTAGTCTTCCGAGCTTAGGGACCCTTGGCTACTAGAAATTCGATACGGGTCAGCGATAAATTTCTAGCAATGCCGAGCTACCCCTGCTGCGCTGGACCAGCTAGTACAAATATTATGGACGCAAGAAAAACAATCGAAAATGCCTGCTTTCTGAATCGCTGGAAGATTGATCACGCTTTCAAGGTATACACTCGGCCCATATGTGTTCTGAAATATTCATCGGAAAGAAACGCGGTTACGTGAATATTCATCTTCGGAAACTTCACTCCCAATTGGCGAATCGTCAAGATGATTCCGTCCCGTGGACGAATTAGCGAAAAGTAAAAGTCCCGATGTCCCGGAGGACGGAGACATCCTCCGCGTGCGTAGCATGTGCGAAGACAGGAGACACGCACACGCGTGCACAGCGGGCCGCTCCACGCTTTAAGTGCGTGTATTACACGCGTGTAAAATGACTACACGCGCCGGGCCCTTTGATCTCGGCCATTCATCACCGCGCGGCCGAGAAAAAGTCTAATAATATTGGGTGCACGGCGACGTTCACGCGTGTGCGTGCGTGAAATGGCCGGTTTCCCCGTGTTCCGCGGGACGATCCGCAGATATATACGCGTCCACTCGATCTTCCCGCAACGATTTATTCCACCCCGATCCGCGGGATCCACCGGGAAACTCGAGACCATCCTCCGAGACGGCCGAGAGCCACGGATGCCTCGCTTCTCAAGCGAATTAACAGCGGTCCCGTTGTGCGACGTTTGAATCCGTCACAAACAGCGAATTATATTCGCGAAATAGTGGGAGTCGGCGTCACGCTCTCGCGATCCAGATTGTTAACGGTAATTTCACCGAGACGGTAATTGATAACGTTCGGCCATAATGTTGCCAGACGTTTACTGCGCCTCGCGGCGGAGAGCTTTAACTGTGCTTTCCGTTTGAGAAGGAGGATTTCAGGGGAATTATCGAAAATTTAATGCGACAGGTTGCGCGTTTACCATCTTCTTCCGCG